AATAATAATAATAATAGTAAGGGCAAAATAATACAGTATATACATTTAAATATTTAATATTAATGTTTCCCATTTCCCGGTACATGATTTATGATTACATTATTCAGAGTTGATATAATAATTATTGTAGGGGACCATATCTTGTAGCAGGAAAATAATCAAAATTATTCCCCTGACATTTGTGGTTAGATACATTTGCATCCTCCCCCATTTCCCATATCTTCTTCAGAATCCCCCCATTGGAAGCTTCCCCGTGCATCTTGCTGTAGAACCGAAGTTTGGATTGACCGGGGGAAAAAAAAAATAGACACAAAATCACAGTATTTCTTACGTCTCAGAATGATAATTCAGCTTATATTTGAACTAAAAGTAAAAATCTAATTAAATAATTATTTTCAGATAAAATGAGTATTAAATAATGAAAATTTAATATATCGGTCCCAAGGAAAAAAAAAAAAACCGTTTCGGGCCTTTTTTTTGTGGGGTTAACAAATTTTAAATAAACTAATTGGCTAAGAACTTCCAAACTTTTACTTCATTTTGATGAAAGTTTAAACAAAGAAACGGAAATGAGAACTGATATACTCTAATTATATTAAAAGTAAAAATCTAAACGGGACAATAATTACAGAACAGCGAAAGTAATTATTTCATCACTGATATGGCCGGTGAAATGATTTTTAATTGGGGGGATAAAATTTCAATGTATTGTAGAATTAAACAAAAAACGTTTCTACCCATTTTTTAAGAATGATTACTCTATTTATTAAATTAAATAGATATAATAATTATTTTTATATTTAAATATAATAATTAGTATTTTGGTTGAAAAGCAACAAAAGTGAAGGCCAAATTGGAATAAAAAAGTGGGAAATCAGGGAGGGATTTCGCGAATTCCGTTTTGTTGCGAGTTTGTTTCTGAATTCTTGGCCACGAAGACATCTCAAATTGAACCTTCTTCACGTACGTAACCAAAGACAGCTAATCAAAACGGACCACAGTTGAGAAATTCTTTAGTTTTCTTTTTTTTCAGAAACAAAAACCGTATTTAGTACTAGTAAATTAAAGGTCACCGTTTATAAAACTTATTGCCAATTTAATTAGAGAAAAAGAAAAGTGGATATACAAAAAATGACCCAAAAAGTACCAAGAGCACACATGGTAGATTGGTAGGTGGTAGAGAGATAGATAAACATAAAAAATTTCAAAAAAAAATACGGCAAAAGAAAAGAAAAATGTCATAAATTCTTGAAAGGATAATGCCAACAGCTCAGAACAGAATTTATTAAATTGTATAGTACTGCTCCGATGGAGAGTATATAGTACAAATACAACTGTACAAAATGGTAAAAGAAAAGAAAAGAAAACAAAAATGATAAGAAGCACACAACAACTAGTCACCATCACGTGCACTGCACAGTCTTGGCTTGTACGTTGACTGTATATATTCTCCATTAAATAAATTAATTAGAAAAAAACCCTGGTATTTACTTTTTCTATATTCTTTTGTTTTATTTACGTTATTAAGAAATAATACAAAATAAAATATGTTTTTTTAATGGCATTTTTGGTAAAAAAATGAAGTGTACGTGGGAATGAGTCAGAGATTAGGGGATACCAAAAGAGAAGCTACCTATGATTCTTACGACCGTCCTCCCCCACGTCCTTTTTTTATGCCACTGCCGCCTTTAACGTTCTGTTCACTGTTAAAACCCTTTTTTTTTTTTTATTAGACTTTTTTTTTTTGTTTTTTGCCCCTTAATCTTGTAGCCCACATTTCTAGGTCTGGTCTACTTTTGGATCTACTAGTTGTTTGTTACTAATGATAATAAAACAACCACAATTCAAAACTAGGACAAGGTTACTACTAATAATAATAATGCTTTGGAATCGAGTCTTGCCTTGGTGGTTAGGGCGTTGTACTTTTAACCGCAAAGTTTACTACTAGTTGTTTGTTAGTACTTATGATTAATGAAACAAACAACCACACTTCAAAACCAGGACAAGTTTACTATACCTTCTAATAATGCTTCAAATATGATCCATCTTGAAGAAAAAGGGTCTCTCTTCATTCTCACAAACACAGTCAGCTGAACTTGTCAGTTGTCACTCAAAACTTTATATAAGTTGTTATCTAAAAATATTTACTCGATTCTAATTAGTTGAAACATTGATTTCAGATATCATGTGTAAAATATGAAAAAATATTTATATAAATTGATTTTTTTTACTGTAATGCATTATATTATATTTTTTTAACAAGTAAAATCTTATTGTAAATTACAAGCGAGATTATGTTATTGTGTTGAATATGAAATCATTCGAGAAGCCAATGTTTTTTATGCATTGATTTTCTGTGTGCGTGATTTTTTGTAAGGCGGAACCAAAAAAATTTAAGAAGATTTTAAACAAACGTACAAAGCACGGAGTGGATACAACAACATTTGGTTGGATATTCTTGAAGGGGAAAAAAAAAAAATTAATTTTCAGCTTAATGCATGGTATCTTTAAAACCATTGGGCGAAATGTTTCTTCCGACTTTCCATCACCTATGACATTAATTATTTTAAACTTATTATACGTCCACCTATCATGACTGCATGACCTGATCTCATCTTTTCATTTAATTAAAAACTAAAACTGATCGAGTAAATAGTATAAAAAATAATCTGAGTGCATATTCTTAATCTTCAAAAAAAAAAAAAAAAAAAACTGATCGTATATATATGAAGTCCGAGTCTCTTTTTTAGCTACATCGATATTGATTTATTTCTTATGTGCATTTATTTTTCAAAATATATTCCTAACTAGAAATATTGTGAACATTTTCATTGGTTTCTTACAAAACACTAGCTTGAATGCAACTAGAAAGTCAAGAGTTGGGTTTTATTTTTTGATCTTCCATGTAGTGTCTGACATTTAAATACTCCAAAATATCGATGCGGTAAAACTGTTAGGAGACCTTTATGTTTTACTAGTTGTGATTAAAATTTTGACGAAACTAATCCAAAAAGTTGGATAATTCTTAAAAAGTTGTTCAGATAATCAAATTAATTACTGCTATGCGACTTCGACGGCTTGCTAGTGGCATAAATCAATTTTTAAACCAAAAATCATTAGGCTTGCCACCACGATTTCTTGCTTTGGTAGATCTCATCTGGAACCGAGGACCACATTCATCCCGTTGACTGTTTGATTAGTAAAGTAAGAAATCATATTGAAATTAAAACTTCTATACATTTTTTTTTTAAAAAAAAAGCAAATAAAATGTTAAAAAGAGAATTACTTGACTCGTTCAATACAACTGCAGTCACATCAATTAGCAACATGCAAGTGTTTTTCCTGTTGGAGGATTAAATTTCAGCTCTCCAAAAACTAAACTTCAATGGATTGAATATTAGATTAAGACACCTGAGTAGAGTTTAGAGTGACATTAAATTATTCAAAATTGCAAAAGTTCAATTCTTCAACGTTTGAATTAAGTCCTTAACTTTAGTGGAACTTCTGACTATAAAAGCGGGGAAAAAAGTTCCTTTGATCGATCGACTTGATTTGAGCACATAAACAAGCACATTGCAAGTAGAAAAAATGTACCGGGAATTAGGGATACTTTTGATTTCATCCTTCCTATATTTTTTCTTTTTAATTTTCCTTAAATAGGCAAGTCACAAAATATTTTTATCTACCTAATACTCTAAAATATAGCGAGGGTGATAAAGCATTGAGCTGTCAAAACGTTTATTGTATATGTCTCCAAAAAAAAATTGTTTAATTTATTGCATTGTATAATACAATTTTTTTTTTTAAAAAAAATCATGTTGATACATAATGAGTAATTGGCGTATTGATCAAAAGTAAAATACATCTTCTTGGCTTCTTGCTTCCTGCATTTCATCCAATGAACCATGTCATTTATGATGGCTTATAACTATACCATGGACCGGAATTCACCTAGTACTGAGATTTTCTTGTCCATAACAATAAAAAGAAAAGCAAGTGATTACCATCTTATATTGCTCACTATGCTTCAAAACACATAATTTTACCCAAGGTTTATGAGTATGCGTATCAAAACTCTCTTCATATATAGTCTAATATAGTGAAACACAAATTGGCTTGGCAATTACACTACAAGTTCATTTTATTGCAAATATTGGATTCCAATACAGTAAAGGGTTTCTTTTTTCCTAAACAACTTGACTCATCAAGTCATCATCTATCTTAATCTGTCTGATCACCAACAATGACCTATCAAATGCATCCCCTCTTCCTTCTACGTAAATGTTCCAGTATTATTTTGCATTCTTCCGAAAAAAAAAAAACTTCATTTTTTGCGGGAGACATTTTTTGTTTCTTCTTCTTTTGGTACAATGAAAAAGGCAAAACACCTTAGATTACAACGTGTAAGAAATACCAGTAATATTGAAGAGACATTATAAGTGGTTCCGAGATTTTTGCTTGATACGCCATATAGGAATAGAGTGTGTAAATTTAGTGTCATTACAATAAATTCATAACAATGTGTGATCATGTAATTTTTTATTTATTTTTTTTGGTTTTTAATATGAGGTTGTATTAAAATTTTCGCTCAATGTATTTGTACCACTTTTGTGACGTTTACTCGTTCGCCCCTTAATTAAAGTGGACACAACAACTAACGCTAATCTCCATGAATCTTCTTTTGATTTAGAAGAAGAAGATTTCAAATGGGTCTTCCCAAAACACTACTGTCCTTCCTTGACCAATAAGAAAAACTTAAAACCTTGTCTTTTCAAAAAAAAAAAAACCTTAGGAGTAATAAATCACCGAAACGAAGGAAAAAAGGAAAAAAAAAAATTTCTCCGCTAAAACCCGGTGTGGACCCCACCTAAAAGAGCAAATCACCTGGCAATATTGGTGCCAAGTGTCACCTCATCTCCCATCATCCCCCTCTGAACCAAAATCACAACGATACAACGCTACACCCGCAACGCACCGAATCAAAACCTCACAATATTAACCCCAAATATTACCAAGGACCAAAATCGTAATTTCGACAAACCTAACAAAACGACAAACGGAGATTAAGCATCGGGGCGGGGCACGGAAATTGTTAAAAATACCCTCCTGATTCGCTGCAGGTCTGAGAGAGTAGTACTCTTGGCCCCTTAATTAACGCAGGTCCCGCCACGTCATTGCCCAATCCGTTATCTCCACGTCATCGCACCCCTCCCAAAAATATCAACGTACCAGATCCAGTCTTTTGCTCCCCCCCAATCCAACGGCTGAACCTCCACATTCCAGACTCTTCCGCAATAAACTTATCCATGGTTAGTCAAATTCACTTAACCATGATTCGCGTTATAACCCCACTCCAAAAGAAGAGAGAGATAGGAACATTCTTAGAAGTATAGAATTAAGAAAATAAAAAAGCTTGAAATAAAAATACAGAGAAAAAAGAATTAAAGAAAACCCCAAGCTGCTGTTACTTAAAATTTTTTTTTATAATATTAATATTAATAATTGGGAAGGAGGGAATTATATAGATGAGATAAAGAAAGTAAAGAGCATACCACAGTACAGAGAGCTTACAGACGAGAAAAGAGGTTTTTGGTGGGCTTGGTTGAGATTCTTGACAAGGCCCTTTTTTCTGCAAGGGGAGAACAGGAAAACTTCTTGAATTTATATTATTTGCAGCAGTTTTCTCTCTTGTGCCCATTGCGAATTTGGGATTGGTGAAGGGGGACTTTTGAATCTGAGATTTGGGTTCAACGGTCTCTGTTTTCCGTGTGTTAAAAAGGCTGCGCAGGAGAGGGAACCGGGAGCTTTCTCAGATCTGGTCATCTGGTGAGTTAATTTGATCATTTGTTGGCTGATATTGTCAATAATGTCGTTGTTTGATGTGGGTTTATTCCTTTGGTTCGTTTTTGGGATTGGTTTTCTCCGTTTGGGTTGGGGGATAGGGGATTGGGCTGTATTGGATTATCTTTCTTAAGAAGGATTGCAGTATTGTTACTGTCTTCGTAATATTAATGTGGGTAATGCCTGTTACGAATTAGGAGGTTAAACAAAATTCAATCTTGACATGAAAATTCTCTTTTTCAGCACATGTGAGATTGATATTGATGGTGGTGGCATTTAAGGATGAATGAAAAAAGGGAATTTTTGTGGGTATTAATGTCAACTGGATTACTTACTGGGATCAGTTTTCAGTGATTTTAAGCGTGCGATATTTGTAGATTACGTGTCTCATGTAATGGAAGAGAGAGTTATGGCGTTGCATTGATGAGCAGTTTAACTGCCTTACTATGAGTTTAGTATTTAGGTATCCAAGATCTTGGTGTTTGTGTTATGTCTGATGATTTTGTTGGTTATAAGACCGTGACGTCATTACAAATTCCTATACACAAGTGAATGGATCTTGGATCAATTATCTGAGTAAGGGGGAACTTCTTGTGCTTACTAGTTGTGAGGTATTAGCATCTGGACCTTGCCTTAATCGTGGATATTGTGATGTCAACACGGATGTTTTTTTTTTCCTCTTTTACGTGCTCAGATTTCAACATTTTTGTTTGTTTGCTTTATCGTCACGTGCCTGAGCTTTATGTTTGGAAATATGATTTCAAATCGTTGGTATTTTGGTTCTCTAGTATCTCCCTTTGTTCATGGTTTTCATCTCATTTTGTTTTCTGTACAGATTGTTGTCCAGTGGTTGATACAATTTTCATCCGATGGGTCGTTCAATGTAGTGATCGGGATACTTGTCTTTTCTCTGGTTGTTTAAAAGCCGCCAAACCTGTGATTTGCTCTGCTTTTCTTATTGGTGAGTGGGTCGGTTCTCTCGGGATCTGGTGCTTGATGATAATTTCTCCATCTTGCTTATTGGCGGTTCAATCACGCGCGGCTTCTGAGTTTGGCGCTCAACTGAGAGAGAAGGAGCTACTCTCTTTTAACGCCATCTCTGTTGCCAGCTGTGAGAACCGCTTTTGGGGCTCCCCTGTTGATGTCTCCTAAATTGGATAGTCCTGTACAAACACAAATGGCTGTGGCACTTTTTAAAAGTCCAATTGCTGGGGAGTATCACGGGAGCAACAGAATGGAAGGGAGACCTGCTGGCCGGAGACGGGTTTTTGTCCAAACTGAGACTGGGTGTGTGCTGGGAATGGAGTTGGATCGGAATGACAATGTGCATACTGTAAAGAGGAGGTTGCAGCTAGCCCTGAATGTTCCTACTGATGAGAGCTCGTTGACGTTTGGTGACATGGTGTTGAAGAATGACCTCACTGCTGTTAGAAATGATGCTCCACTTCTTCTGACCCGAAACCTATTGCACAGGAGCTCCTCTACTCCATGTCTTTCTCCCACTGGAAGAGATATACAGCAGAGAGATCAGAGTGGTCCGTTTGAAATATTGGGTCGCTCTGTTAGCTTTGCCAAAACCAAGCTACTTGTCAAAGAAATAGTGAAGGCAATCAGGGCGGGGGTCGATCCTCTCCCTGTTCATGGTGGGCTTGGAGGTGCATATTTCTTTCGAAACAGCAGAGGGGAGAGTGTTGCCATTGTCAAGCCTACTGATGAAGAACCTTTTGCGCCTAACAACCCAAAAGGTTTTGTTGGAAAAGCTCTTGGTCAGCCAGGTCTAAAGAGATCAGTTCGAGTTGGTGAAACTGGGTTCAGAGAGGTTGCTGCTTATCTTCTTGACTATGACCATTTTGCTAACGTACCAGCCACTGCATTGGTGAAGGTCACACACTCAATTTTTAACGTCAATGATGGTGTGGGTGGTGGTCAGCCTCAAAACAAGAAGCTTGTTAGCAAGATAGCATCTTTTCAACAGTTCATTCCACATGATTTTGATGCGAGTGACTATGGAACGTCAAGCTTCCCAGTTGCTGCAGTGCATCGAATTGGGATATTAGATGTTAGGATTCTTAACACAGATAGACATGCAGGAAACCTGTTAGTTAGAAAGCATAATGGTGCTGGGAACTTTAGTCAAGTGGAGCTTATCCCTATTGATCATGGCCTCTGCTTGCCCGAGAGTTTGGAGGATCCATATTTTGAGTGGATTCATTGGCCACAGGCTTCAATTCCATTCTCTGAGGATGAGCTTGAGTACATTGAAAAACTTGATCCTGTCAAGGACTCTGAGATGCTTAGAGCTGAGCTGCCTATGATTCGTGAAGCTTGCCTCCGTGTCTTGATTCTCTGCACCATATTTTTGAAAGAGGCTGCGGCATATGGTCTGTGTCTTGCTGAGATTGGTGAGATGATGACCAGGGAGTTTAGAGGAGGGGAGGAGGAACCCAGTGAACTTGAGGTTGTATGCATTGAGGCAAGGAGGCTGCTTTCTGAGAGGGAAATGCTTTCTCCCGAATCTGAAGGACATGATGACGAGTTTCAATTTGATATAGATTGTGAAGATGTTGGGTATGATTACACCCCCAAAATGGTCTCAGAAGATTATATGGCTGGATCACCATTTAATTTTGGGATTGGAGGTGTCATTGGCCGTTCTCCACTTTCTAAGTTAGATGAGAGCATCGAGGAAGAAGATGAGAGTGATTTGGAAGAAGAGGACAAGGATTTTGTTGGTGTTCCTGCACCTTCGAAGAACTTAACCATCTCGAAGTTATCTATGTCACTCAAGAATACTAGTTTTGGTGAGAAAAGCCAGAAGTTTCCCAAATTTTCGGGGACCAAGGTGGAGAATGGTTATTTGGCTAATTCATCGTCTGGACATAGAAGTGCAAATGAGCAGCTTCCTGTAAGCGTGAGCTTTGTGAAGCTGGCAGACATGAATGAGGAAGAATGGCCACTGTTTCTCGAGAAGTTCCAGGAGTTACTGTATCCCGCATTTGCTCAGCGGAAGTCGGTGACACTTGGCCAGAAGCAGAGGCAGAGGCTTGGGACTTCTTGCCAGTTTTGAGATTGAGCTGATACTATTACTCTTTTGAGCAGTTGACTGAGTAAGAGTGCAGGCTAGTGGGAGTGAAGGAGTTTTTAGGAGTAGATTGAAGGAATGAATGGTTTGCTTCCTGGAAGTTGTGGAAGTTTGCTGGGTTTAGCAATAGGAGAGACTGCTGTAAATATTCTTTGGAGAGGCTGCTGAGCTTACAGAAGCCTATTAGAATTTGTTTGTATTTTTTCCCTTTGAGGATTTTACCTTTTTTCTTCACTCCTCGAGTTCATGTTAGATAAATAAAGTGTAGAATGAATCCTTTTGAGGAAAAAAGAGGACCTTTTGTAAATACGTTGACTCGTTTCTTAGTTATCTTCTTTATTGATTGATTTGTCTTTTTGGCTTATGGTTGAGACTTGAGAACACTGCCTTCCTCATTTATGCCTGTTGCTACTAAGATTAACTAGTTACTTGCTGTGTATTCTGTTTATGTGTTTCTGCAAAGTGTATATTGATAATTTTGAAGGTTTAACCAAAGGCTTATTGCTGGCTACTTGAGTTCTTGATTTTGAAAAAACGTATGTTCAGTTGAAGCTCAGAATACAATTGATATAGCTTCAAAACTGTTTAGCTAATGGTTTTGTTCAACTTTTTCTTGATTTAGCAGAGTTGAAGTTGATTGAATATGAGCTGAATGTCATGGCATGGTGTAAGAAGGTGCGCTTTTTTTCGATTCTCTGCTGTCTTGTGAAAATTTGACCTGATGTGAATATTTTCGATTGAATTGCTCACAGAAAACTTGACCTGATGCAGACTTGTACACTAAAGTGCAGATAACAAGCTTGACATCTAAATAGGTCCCGCTCTTGATCCTTTCGATAAGCAGACAAGACAAGCCCTTTTCTTTTAGTCAGCAGAAAGCACCAATGTCCATGATTAGGAATCCGAGTTTAGGCATCTACTAATTTACCCTAAAAGAAAAGATCTAAACTTCATAATCTTTCAACAAGTAGGCCAGATCATAAGCTTCTAGCACCTCCAATTCAGCAAAGATCTTAAAACATGTTTACATGAATCAGTTATACTCGCCAAATTATGCCCTTGATGAAAATTTTGTACCTAACACCGAATCATGCATGACTAGGGAATTTTCCAGGGAACAGAGTTCTGCAGGTTTGATCAACCATCATTAGTTCTAGTCGGGACTAATGGCATAGTAATGATAAGTCATGTTCTTGACTAATAAGGACTATTTATATTACGTATGGATCAAAGCTGGCAGGAATTAAAAAAGCATTAAAGAAGAGTTTTTAGCGTATAAGGTTGGTTTAAGTCTTCATCATGGATGGAGTGCTAGTCACTGTCATGAAAGCAAGCACCCTTTTTTCATCATCTTGGGGGAGTCCAAGAGCCACACTAAATTTTGACTAGAAATAGGGAGAAAAAAGGGGCAAAAATTTTTCAAGGTGGCAAGATAACAATCATTTTGATGGCAGAAGGACGTGGCTGCCTAATCGTTTGATTGGCCTTTTCTTTGTAGTGTACTGCAACTTGTTTGCCATGTGGGGTTCTGTGGGCAATGTTTTTTCATGGCTTCAAGTTTAAGTGACAAAGATTGGATAAACAAGATAAATAGAGGTGGGGTTGAGATGTTGCCTAATTTGTTTCCCCTCTTGTAAAATACTTCCTCCGTCCCAAAATGATTATCTTGTTTGTCGTGCTTTAAGACAAACAGTTTGGGACTGAGGGCATGTAAAGCAATAAAGTCATCAGATCATCTTCAGGAGATGACATGAATGATGAAACTAAATTTGACTAGTGATCAGAAAAGAACCTACTCAGTTGCTTCCACTTGCAGTTGAGTATGAAATAGTGGACCTCGCGATTATAATTTCTCGCCCTAACCACAACCTCGAAACCCTCGTAATGATGGAAATCAAGGGCTTTTTTACTTTACAGCAGAGAATTATGCATAGTCTTGGAAGAACCGATAAAAATGTAGTATGAGATAATAGTGGTAACAAAAGCAAAAACAGTTCGCGTCCCACGGTAGTTGGGAATTTGATGTTCTTGCTACCAAAAATGAAGTCATCAATGATATAGATTGAATCTTCTGACATGAGCAATGAATTAAACTAATCAAGGTTTGTTTCTTTCAGTGATGTCACCTTTCGGTTAAGGAAAAACGAATGGACAAAAGCTCCAGCAGATTGAAAAAACAGAAGTGTGTAAATAAGTGTTGCTGCATTTTTTTAGTAAACTGAAAGAAATCAGGAGACGCTGACATTATTATTATAAATTTATAAGGTTATTATTGTGCTCCCAAACTTGCTAGTTGCCATTATGGAAGTATGTTTGACCAACATTTCCTGGCTCGGCAAGCAAAAAATTCGTACTTAAGCACTGTCAACTTATGCGAAATTGTGTGAGAACATTTATACAGGACTTCCCCAATGGACTAACAATGGTTCTTAATGAGTTTCTGTAGTAAAATCAAAGTTACGATTAGTCTCTATAGTAGACGGTGAATTTCATTCAAGAATTAATGAGCTAAGATTGCACTTGGTCAAATAGGCCGGATTGCCGGAACTCTCCAAGATTTACACTCAGCTAAAACTTACAAGTATAAACTATGAAGATCAAAACCTCAGCACTCTTGCCGTCATCACTCTTACTCTGTTTAAGAATGAAGAAATGAAGTCAATGATTCTAAAACTAGTGATTTTCTTTAGTGTTCTGCTTTGCAAAATCAAGCTAAAAGTTAAAATGCAATCCAACAGTCAAATCTCTATACACCATACACGTAAGGCTATCTAAAGTTCCACTATGTTACCCAAAAAAACGACTACTTTATCATTAAAGTTTATCAGCCCTGCCTTAACAGTCTTCTCCAGAAAGCCCTAAAACATTGGACTACGGTTTGCATGTTGGTTGTTTAGTAGTAGTACTTCGAATTCTTGGCTGTGTCCTAATTGATTTTAGACTTTAGGGTATTGGGTCTGCATGGGAATGTATAGAGCCCAACAAAACAAGTGTGTTTGTGGCCTGAATTGTTTACTTAAATAATGTCCTAAGTTTTTTGAATGTATAAAAATTGATTATCCAGAAAGAGAAGGAAACAAATGTTTTAAAATTATTGCGAAAAAAAAAAAAAACAGAGAGAGAATTTCTTGAATAAAAAATTTTATTCCCTTTTAACCACTCGGTTTCATAAACAGTCTATTTTATTGAATGAAGTTCAAATTAAGGTGCGTAAACTATTCTAACAAGGCAAAGGGAAGGGAGTATTTGGAGCCTTGGAGGGATCATTATGATTATTGTTATGAAATTACTTGAGAAAGAGATTAAGTTTAACTTATAGATTAGATATGTGGTGAAAATAGAAAGAATACTTTGAGGAGACAATTTAATCAAGCAATTATACATAGTTTAAAGGACCGAAAACCTCCATCAAGGAAGAAAAAATGTACATAAAAAATATAAGTTACAACGTTTGGTTATAAAACTATAACTTAATAACCAAAACCTTAATTAGTTTGCTTCCACACACATACAAAAATGATCACACAAAAACCAAAAAAAAAAAAAAGAAAAAAAAAGAAGCCCCCAAATATATGTTACTCATAATTTAACTCATGAATTGTGAAAATGCTGTTGTTCTCTCAAACGTGCCTCCAAGGTCTTTCCGCAAGGTTGACACATTCACTATACCTAAAGCAATCCACAAGATGATCAATCGTCAACCCAGCAGCTTGCATGAAGGAATGCACAATCACTGGCCCTACAAACCTAAACCCTCGTTTCAATAGATCTTTGCTTATGGCCTCTGCTTTTGGACTCCTCAATGGTACATTTCTTGGGTATTTGTATCTGTTTATTATTGGCTTATAGCTCACGTAATTCCACATGTAGCTGCTGAATGACCCAAATTCCTTCACAATCTGTCAATGTTACAATATCGCAATGTTATTCTTTAATTAATACTCTACGTCCCAAAAATAAGAGTGATGTTTACTAAGTACAATTTGAAATTCCTTACTTTCAATATGCATTTAGCGTTGTCTACTATGCACCTAACTCGACATTCGGCTAAGAGCAATGCTTTATCAGAAGCAATGTCCATTATCTCTTTTTCTCCCATTTTTGCCACATAGTTTGCATCAAATCCTCCGAAAGCTTCTCTGCACCGACCAGACATCTATTTTTAGACTCTTTAACACAAGAACAAGAAAGATACAAAAAAAAATTGAAAAAAAAAAAAGGTTTATATCGTAGATTTTATACCGCGCGTAGATTCTATTTTTAGCCTCCAGTTATAAAAATTGAATAATATATTGTTATTTTTGGGTTCAGTTAATCACCTGAAGAGTTCTTTCCTTCGTAGAATTTCGGTCCAATTGAAATCCATTAGCATTCCAGATAATGCTAGCAGCTCGAACAATTGCCTGTATATACATCCAATTAATAATATTTGGTAAGTACTCTTGTTGACACAAACCCAAGTGCTATTATTTCAGTTATTTCAATGAAAAGATATGGAAAATGTATTAGTATTGTCACTTACTGATCATCATATACTGGAACGCCCCAGCATTCGTCGTGAAATTGCACATAAAGATTATCTGAAAATGAATTCATTTACCACTACTGATTAATTATACTTACATTAACATACCCTTATGACTCAAAATGATTGTTTGGTTTTAGTTTTTGTAAAATAAATTAGATACTTATTTTAGAGACAGAGAATATTATTAGCATGCTTTTGTTTCAATGAGTAATTTAGAAAGAGGAACTAAGGAGAAAAAGAATGAATGCAGAACCATCCCAAATGAATCTGAGTTACTAAGTGGGTGTAAGTTGTAACAACTAACAACCGATCGAGTTCGACAAAACATGTACAACTTAACTAAATTAATTTGCTAGAAAAGTGGATGAGGTCTCTAATTCAAACCGTGATTGAGCATCTTATTTTGGATAGTCAGGGTTCAATCACTATAGTGTTTGGAATTTTAAATAAATGTAATGTCTTTTGGGTTTTTAGGTATAAGCTAAGAATAGATTCCACATCTCTTACCAACCTAGCATTATTGCAAAAATTAAAGATGATGTTTCAACAATTTTATTGAGTTGATATGGCAAAAAGGTAAAGTAAAATTGCGTAAAAATGTCCCTCCTCAATAAGTAACAGTTCGAAATGGAGAGGGTTTCGACACCCGAATTTGATTGTGATAGATATATAATTTGCATTTTAAAAAACAATTAATAATAAGTAATTTTGATGAACCTAAATATGAATCAATTTTGATGCAAGTTTCTAAGTTGATCTAGAGATTTTGTTTCCATTTTCCTAATGACATTTTTTTGTGTTACTATGAAATTTCATTTCTTGCTTGGAGATTGTAAAAATGTTGACATGTTTAATCAATGGCTTACCACTGCTCTTGGTGATCCAATTGCACCTCTTGGTCATGCCTTCCTCACTTGGATTCACATCAGCTTCAAAGGGATTATCAAGAGAGATTTTCTGGAAACTCTTGGTCACCGGAACTTCCCTTTTCTCCGGCGAGGCGATGAGTTGAAGGGCTAATGCGATCTTCTGCTCCAGCTGAGAGGAAGTGTCGGTACTGAGGGAAGAATCATTGGAGTTCTGAGACAAAGATAATGAAAGAGAAGAGAGGGAGAGTGATGAACTTGTTTTATACAGCCCAATTGGGTACACTTTCTTCATATGTTTTGCCAAAAAGTTGGCAGCACTGCTATGCTTATTACTAGTATTTTTCTCTTTCTCTTTACTACCACCATTTCTATTCATCTTCTCCAATGAACTTCGTTTGAGATTTAATTTCGACATCTTTTTTTTATTAATTTGGAGAGAAGAAATAGAAAGAAGAAAATCCTGTGTGTGTTTTAAAATTTTGGTACAACATGATGCAAACATGGCTGTAGAACTTATATATACACATATATAGATACAAATTTTCAAAAGGGTTGGTAGTAAGTGAGTTTCACTAAAGAGAATTGTCATTATATTATTGCATCTTAGTTTGCAAGCAAAATTATGCAATAAAACCTACATTGGGTTTGTAAAATAATGGGAGGAAAGTGACACTTCAATTTGGATAGCACTATAATTTGAGTCAACACTTACGAATTATATTGGATTCTGAGCAAAAGTACATGTATACAATACTATTATATGGTGTATGTACGTGTATTAGGTTGGAGAAGAAAATGTTATAAACTACAAAACAGCTAGCTGTGATACATCTGGACCAAAAACTTGGAGTTAGTCAAGAAGATCGCTGACGAGGTAGAGACAAGTTAAATGATAGTAAGGAATCAAGTTGGAGAAACACATTTTCGATTTGGTCAATTTTCGGAAAAATGATTGGCAATACTTTGTCTATTAGCAGTAGTAGTAAGTAGTTCTATAGCATCTTTGGCTTTCTTAATTAGGGTCATCACTAATAGAGGGCTTTCATTTAATCTACAGGACCACACACAATCTGTTCAAAGTTCACAAAAATTTTCTCTAATCTCTAGTTTTGCCATAATTGAAGTTGGGAAACATCGACTGAGTTTTTCACTTATAAGAGTTCTGTTTATTGAACTAACAGTGCAACAAACGTGTTTTTTATTTTGTGACAAAAGCAATAGTTAGTATTAGCATTCCAATTTTCTCCTTTTAACTCCTACTTGATTAACAAATAACTATCAGTCTCTATAATACGTATTTAGTTGTACTGTTTGCCTCATAGCTCAAGAAATGGGTCCGAATCAAACCTTAGTGCCCACTCATTTACCCTCAAAATTTTTATTGAGGCAAACAGATGGCCAAACATAGACGAAGATATAGCATCTAATCCATGAATATTATCATCTTGATTTTACATTTGAGCTTAGGCATTCTGGAATCTGAAATGGTTATTATTTCCTATTCCCAGCACTCATAGGAAAATGATGTACTTCCTCTAGTTGTAGTTGGTGAAAATCCAATCCAACATAAAGGGAATTAAGTTATTGACAATTTGTCTAATTAACCTGTCTTTTCTCTTTTTCAAGTTCCTACTTGAGCTTAATTCGTACTATTGAATTAGACGTCCAAAAATGTAAGAAAGTTCATACAATCAGGATTGTCGCTCAGAGCTGACTAACTGACATCAAGTTAATAAATTTACTGCATTGATAAGCATCATTTTTCCAAAATACAGAAGATATCTTCCCTAGAATGACATTCTTTTACCTTTCAAATAAAATTGAACTTGTGGCTATAATACAAAGGGTAATGTAGACCATCCCTATAGTATGAATTTCATCAAAATCCATAGGTGTCGAACCCTCCGTCACCATTTCCATTAGGACAGGGGAAGGAAATACAGAGTATGACCGTTAGTTTAAAGAATTAGAAGGACAAAACCGGCAAATACATAATTGCAAAGCAAGTAAAAAAAATAATAATAATAAAATAAAATTGTATACCTTGCGTCGACTTTATAGTCAACTTTTATAAACCGACGAAAACGTCGACGCATGAATTTTGTATAGAGTTTGCATTTGGTAAATGGATCCTCATTTTAAGTCTTAGCAAAAACCAGAGCAATGGCCGCAATGGAGACAAGGGAGTTCGGAAAATGTAATGGTTATTCTGTGTTTCGGTAGGACAACTTATTCTACATGACAACAACACTATAGCTAGCTAAATCCAATATATTACATTCACGAAATCCTCTGATTTCCTTAAATATAGTTAGTGTACTCTCTCCGGTCTTTATTATAAGTATTCTGATTTATCATAAGTTTCACTGAGTATATTTTTTTAATTGAAAAAAAATCTTAAAAATATTTCTTAATAATTAGGAGAACAAAAGAAATGTGAAAATATATTTTAAAGGTTTTTTTTCAATTAAGAAAACATATTAGGTAAAATTTAAGATAAATCAAAATGTCTTGAGAAGAAATTTAACACAAATGATCAAAATAGCTTATAATAAAGACCGGAAAGAATACAATATAAATGAATTTATGAAATGGCACATTTGGACCTTTTCCTTTCTCAGTGTAGTCAATAAACTTGTAGTTGACAGAACTCGACGTACTATAGTACTTCCTCCGATCCTTATTATAAGACATTATGATTTATCATATGTTTCACTTTATACATTTTTACTAATTGAAAAAAAAAAATTTTAAAATATTTTCTAATAATTAACACAATGAATGAAAAAATATATTAAGTGAAATTTATGACAAATCAAAATGTGTTATAATAAAAAGCGGATGAAGTAATATGTAGTATAAAACTTTGATTAATACTTTTATTGCATACTACTACCAATACTCTTTTCTCAATTCAATTGGGCCAGCTCACTCACAAACCCATCCAAATCCTTGATGGAACTACCACCAATTTGAACAGCTCCCAAGGCCTTATTCCTCAACTTCTTGGCCCTTTCCCTCTCCACCGTATCCTTCCTCATGGCCAGGTTAATCATCTGAGCCAATGCATCCGGGTCCGGCACGGTATCCAGACCCTGACAGACCCGAACTGCTGCTCCAATATGGTCCACTAACAATCTCTCGTCTATGAACTGGTCGGCTTCCATGGGCCAGCCCAAGATCACGACTCCGGCCACTATCGCTTCCAACATCGAGTTCATCCCAAAATGACTTAAAAACCCGCCAACGGCTTTATGATTCAGTATCGGCACCTGAGGCGCCCAACCATTCACAACTACGCCTCTTCCACTAACCCGATCCTCAAAACCGTCCGGGACGGATCCATACCCGTCAATGAGTTGTTGGGCCGTAACCGGCTTATTAACCCAAATGAAACGAACACCGCTATTTTCCAGCCCAATAGCCAAAGCTTCCATTTGCGCCTTCTTCAGTACCTTCTGACTCCCAAAACACACATAAAGGACGGATCCATCGGGACATCCATCCAGCCATTGTAATACCCCACCATCGATGGATCTGGAGTTCAGATTTCCTCGTCCCATACTGTCGGGAACGCCGATTAAATTCAACGGCCCAACTGCAAAAACAAAGCCCATCTTCTTCCTCCACCAGCACAAATACTCGCTCTCCAAATCCTCGAACGTATTAAAAACGGCACCCCAACTCGAAGTATTTGCAACCATGCCATTCCGGACCACCACAGAATCCGGATTGGTACCGGAAAAATTCTCCTTGCTCCGCCGGAAAACCGACGGAAGATGTTCCCAGATAAAGCTCGGAGATCTAGGCAAATCCGGAAAATCCACCACGCTGGTGGGGACTGTAATTGAATCGAAATTAACCCACAGATTCTGCATAACCGCAGTGGAAAACGCACCGGAGGAGTAGAAAACAACTCTGGGAATCCCGATCTGGTGGGCTAAATCGTGAGTCCAGCCCAGAAAGAAATCGGAGATGAGGGCTGCCGGAGGATTGGAGTGGGAATTAAACCACTGAAGAATTGGGTCGTGTAATTTGCTGAGAGCAGAGATTATAGGACCATTCCCCTGATTCCCGATGTCCTTAACGTTTTCAACCCCGGGCGGGACGGAAGGATGGTCGGGAAATGGGAAGATTAAGGTTTGAATTGAGGGATGAGATGAGAGAAGAGGGTCTAAAACGGGGGCGTTTTTGGGAGTGACTAAGATTGTGATGGTTAGGCCTCGGATTGCGAGCTGGTGAGTGAAATCTAGCATTGGAAGGATGTGACCTTGAGCTGGGAACGGGAACATAAGCACGTGGACACCATTTCTACGGCCGCCGGCGCCGGAAGACATGGTTTAATTAGTAAGGTTTTCAGGCGAGAAGGCGACAGAGTATGGGTGAGAAGAAGGATTCAATGATTCAATGTCAAATGGAGTAGCAATTTGGCAAACGTCATGATGATAAATTTATAACGGACCAAATCAGAGGCTGAGAATCACTTGAGCTTTCTGTGTGAAAAGTGAAAACCGAAAGGCAATTCGTCAAAATTACCCGTGAAAACGACAATATCTGCATTTTTATTAGCTGATTGAAGCTTTTGCCGCAGATTGCAGCATGCAAAATGAAGAAAACAAATTTCCGTAACGGGCACTATATCCAAACACGTGTTACCTAAATGTGCAGACTGCAGTGATCATTTGCTTGATGATATCTGAGAACTCCCGCCGTCTCCAATATTCTTATTTCTTATTTCGGTATTAAAACAGTTCAACGAATATGACAGTTTTGAGTGCGTTTGAAATTTCATAAACCGCTTGTTATGAATGTTAGTTTTTTTTTTTTTTCACCTTATAATTAAAAAACGAATCAATGATCTTCCGAAAATACTCGAATCTGAATGAGTTGGAACAATAATTTCAAAACACAGAATTCGTAATATGAAAAAAAAAAAAAAAACCAAGTCGAAGTTCGTAATAACCTTTTTGTAGTTAGAAAAACTGAAAGAGTGACCGACGATGTCTCTGTCTAAAATATCAACTAGCCAAGTAAAGAACAACATTAATAATTATGGAACCAACTAGAATTAAGGAGATCAACACGTACATAATTATATTGTTTTCGACAAAACCTCTTACAAAATAGTACTACAAACGATTAACGGGAAGGTTAAAAAAAAAAAAAAGTACAGCGAGATACAAATAATTAACACGATATCGTATCATAATATAACATCCATATTTCAAAATAACACGCTTAATTCTAAAACTAAAACATGTTCAACAAATAAGATAATTATTTTTGAGAGCGGGAAGAAGAAGATGTTCCTGATTTATATTTATAATATATGTTGTTGGATAGTCAGTTGTTTTTAGGAGGGTGATGCATAGGACCACGATCATAATCACTGGTGAAATCTCTGTACCGAGCCACCGTTTTCTGTTGGGATTTGAGACTTCTCTTCACTGTTGCCTCACTTTCTCCTCCTTGTTTGGATTTCATCTCTCCTTGTTCTTGAGAACTTCCCCTAGGCAATGTCTCAAACCCTTGGTTCGAAACGGCATTGCACCCTCTAGAGCTTCCACCTGCGAATTCACAACATGATTTGAGTTAGCTAGTGCTCTTTCCATTCCATATTTTTTAGTAGTCTATTTAATTTGTTGTATCAAAATTCATTTCGAAATTAATGAAATGACATTTCTAAGGCATAAATATTTTTTTACCTATTTGGCGGGTATAAGCATCCGAGAGTAATCCGGCGACAATAACCAGAATGAGAACCAAATGTATCAACTTGCGGAATTCCACCATCTTCTTGATTATCTCTGGGTTTATGGCTGTTGAAGCATGCAAAAGAGAACAAGGAAGAAGAGGATTCAATTTCGGTGGCAATTTATAGGCAACTTCATGAAAATGGACACAAGTCAAAGATTTAGTGACTATAGTCCAACCATTTTTTAACCCTTTACTTTTCCCAAGTCATCAGTTTGCCAAATACTATGAATTAAAGTAAAATCATGATTTCTTTTCGCCCTCTAACTAAGAAACAAAGGGGGGCACGTTCCTTGAGATAATAATTTGTTGCATGTAATTTCGCGATAATCCCATGTGTCAGTCAACCAAAATCGTACCATCTCGAGACACACTGTTAGTTGCATGTACAGAGAGAATTATTAACGGTCCATAACTTCTACTAATTACTTAAGTATTCTATTGTGTGTACGAATATCATTTTACCTATGCATCGATATAGTCCATAACTACTCAAATCGAAGATCATAAATGAAAAAAGGTAAGCACTTTAAGTAGGTATGTTTCTATACTCAAATATTTGACAACAAAATTTTTTTCCCCTCTCCACCAAAAAAAAAAAAAAACAAATTGGGGGAGAAGAAAATTGGAGGTCGATATATAGGGCGGGAAACGAGAATGATACACTGGCTCCCCCTCCATTAAGATTAATATTGACGGCAGCTTCAACTGAGAGACCGGATTGGCTGAGTGCAAGTGGAGTTGCACGAAATCAAACATGTGTTTCGTGAGTTTAATTTTGTAGCAGATTATATATGAGATCTTTAGTAGTACATATAAGATTCTGTGAAATTTAATAGTCTGAGAATCCATCAAGAGTTGTAAAACTATATGTGGAATATGATGTAGTCGGGATACAATCCACTCGAAATGTGCTAAATTAACGCTAGATTTTATACCTCTTTCTTTGTAAAAAATAAAAATAAAAAAAATCCAAATTAACCTAAAAAAAATTCCACAACTACTATATAGCATCCGTTCCAAAAAAATAATAAATTCAAACTACAATATGAAACTGACCAAATAGTCATCTAGGGTTTGGATTAGTGGTTTAGGGGAAACAGGCGGTGGTCCAAATTAATGGCCGGGACGACATGAGAAAATGGGGGAAATTCAGGGTGGGAAATTGCTTGGGAGTGAAGAAATGGGATGGTAAGTGCTTCGTGCCTGTCTGCCGCCATGCATTCAACGAGAAGAAGAAATTAACAACTTGCCGAGGTCCCTCTCTTTCTTTCTAACATGGCCCTCACTCACTTTGGATTTTCTTCTTGGTGTTGTTAATGTTTTCTTTTCAAACTTTAAATATTAATAATCCTAGTTAATCTCAAAAATTGTTTTTGGGCAATCAATTCTATTCTAGGGGCCTGCCCACGTTGAAGATTTGAGATTAACAACACCCACTTTATCGCACAAAGCCCTAGAGCTCAAAAGGTAAATTAACAGGAATCACCCCACCTTTCGAAATGTAAAACTGATTTTGCTCATCATCATCATCATTAAATGAAGTTAGAAGTTAATTCAGACCTAGCTATTCCACTAGTTAATTAACACTTCAATAGAGTTATAAAAGTCTCGAACTACGTACACCCTGCGATACGCGGAAAAAAAATCTGGAACCATTTTGATCTTTCTCAAATAGGGACATACATAAAATTCTCCCACAAATGTGATCAATTGGCTGTTGAAAACTCATTTGAGGGGCTTTAACTATTTATTTCACTAACCAAACACAAAACATCACACATATATATCGTATAACTGCCGGGGATTTATCTGGAGGAGAAAACCCGACATGGAGCCCAATAAGTAAGATAAGACCCATCTGAACTCAAAAGTTCAAGCTAATGGGTTCTGAGACCACCTTACTTATTAACTGATTCACATGTTCTCATGCCTCCGATGTGGGATTTATAATCCTTGTTATTAACTGATTCACATGTTCTCATGCCTCCGATGTGGGATTCATAATCCTTGTCACATGACTCTCAACATTCTCCCCCGTCATGGGCAATCTCCACATTGGGCTTCCAAATTTTCTTGACAAGCCCAAATCTATACTCCACTTGAGTAACTGGGCTGTCCATCCCTACGTTTCCGCTCGTAGTGGGTCTTTGACTGTCTGGGTTCAATCAGATCAACCGAGATAATTTGGGCAAAATCACCCACCCACTTGGCCCAACCTGGGCTCTGATACCACTGTTGGGATTTATCTGGAGGAGAAAACCTAACTTGGAGCCCAATAAGTAAGATAAGACACATCTGAACTCAAAAGCTCAAGCTAATGAGTTCTGAGACCTCCTTACTTATTAACTAATTCACATGTTCTCATGCCTCCGATGTGGGATTCATAATCCTTGGCACATGACTCTCAACAATAACAAACCTCTGGACAACATAAAATCCATCGGAGTCCACAAGGACGAACTAACAACAATAAGGATTTTGAGTAATTATATTCTTTGGTTCAAACCTAGCTAGCTAGCTACCCAAAAATCAAAACTATCATATTTTGATTGAGTTTTCCATTGAGACCTTTTGTCATCTGCAACCTAACTTTTCTTGAACTTGCTCTTAGTGATTCGAAGACATCTAAATTATTAATTATAACGAGATAGTGCCCATGGAAAAAGAATGATACTACTATCAAAAAGAGACAAACTTCATTCATGTCCCTCCCTTGTTAATTTGATGTGTCTAGTTCTCCGTGATCGATGATGATATACATTATATCCGCTTAATTCGATCATTAGACGAACATCAAGTACTTAATTCCTTTTGCAGTTATTTATTTCATGTGTTCGGATCAAGCCATCAACTTTGTGATTGAGTGTTTAATCCCAAATTACTAGGAACAACTTAATTTCTCATACAACCTGGCTCAAATGTAACACATGCATCGCGACTTGGCTATACGGCGATATTTAGCCAAGATTGTTTAGACTTGGCTTCAGTTGCTCCTTATTTATTTGTTTGATATAATAGGATACGATAGCAAAAATCTAAGATCAAAATTTTGGTTGTAATTATTATTATTATTATTATTATTTTAAAAAGAACCCCACTATTCTACTATATCTGTACTATAGTACTCAAGTTGAACCTTATCAATCTTTCGTCATGATCCACCGCATTTGAAAAATTTTACTCCCTCAATAAATATTTAACTAAAAACAAAAATTCAAATTAGACAATTACTTTATAGATGTGAGTGTTTCTGTATGTCGATCTTAAAATTAATCATGTTAAGAATGGGGATTTAATAACTCCGTTGCGAAGAAGAAAAGAAAAGAAGAAGGAAGACCAAGAAAGTACAAACTAGACAACTGATTTGAAATATGTATGAAACTGCTGGAAGTGGCCACTCTCCACCGCAGGACAAAGATCACGAGCAATTATAATTTTTCGTAGGTTTTTCGTTAGTCGATCGTTAATGCTTGTGCAGTGTGCATTGAAGTTATTTAGGTACACCATTGTTTGATGCTACATTTGTTAAAGTGTGACTTAGCTAGTGTTCATCATTCATGCATGCATGAATCGTTTTAGTCAACTTGCAGTGCCATTTTTGGAACTTGGAAGTTGGACTTACTTGACTACTTAAGCATCGTGTTTCAATCAGTTCATTTACTTACATACAAATCATCAAAATTTGTGCCTCTATTTAAAATTCACCAAACCAACCAACAATTAATCAAGGGATACTCCAACCCTTTTGCCCAAGGTTTTAGGGTTAGCTTCTCTCTTTTTTTGTTGTTTTATTGAAATAAGCAATTATCCTCCCCAAATCCTATGTTTCTTCTTCATGTAATCCAGTAGAACGCATATTACATGTCAAAGAAAACAAACGTGGTTTGGCTGTAAGTAAGTGTAACTTTCATAATGCGGTTACGGTTCACTATCGTCTAATAATTACTAAAAGTTGTTATTAGCTAGATTAAAATGTTGGCATATGCTTTTTACCATAGTAATGTGTGGTGAATTGTAGATTGTAGCTAGGAGGGTTGACGGTTAGTTCAATCTTGCTTATGGAACACTAAATTTATAATAAAGCAGTAATAACTAGTAAGGCATAACGGAAGACATCATTTCCCTATATATTTTTTTTTAATTACAAAGGAAGCTTATGATTTAATTACAAAACATTCCTAAGATGAAAGGATGAAATAGTCCTATCCAAAGCAAGACTCTCTAAGATCGTAGCCGGGGGAGAGACAAAAGGTGCATCTCATATGGACGAGAGAGGCCATCATTTCCCTAGTTTACATGTATCTCCGCGCTGGATGAACCTGTAATTATGGCCTCTTATGATGAAATTGGATCGAAAGGGTAGTTATCACCAACTTAAAAGCCTGAAGCCCGGAGATTCTACTCTTTTGGCCCAATGGATCATTGATTTCTTCCCTTCTGCAATCCGCAAATTTTGAGATATCATGTTTTCATTGTGGGAATCTTACCAACACATAAATCGGTCGACATACAATGACACAATAGTATACCTGAACTGAAAGTGCCCCCTTAATGAAGTTTTGGCCCTCGTGGAAGTTGATTCCATGGAAGGCCATCTACGAACATCACAATGACAAGAAAGATGAATAATAAAATGCATATTTCATTAGAGATTTAACTGCTAGAACATTTAGAAATAGAATAACCTGGAAGCTTTTAGAATTGGGCTTCCAATTCTTCCCTAGTAATTTTATTTTATTTTATTTTTTCGTTTTTACGATGTAAGAAGACTCACATCTCCTACCTTCAACAATCATGGATATATTTTTGTATAAATAATGGATAACATGAGGGTTGTGAAAATGGTCATGGGCAATGATCAGATTCTTAACAGCAACAGAGGTTTGGTAAATGTTATTCGTGATTTGTGAAGTAGAGTATAAATAGTAGAAGTGTAACATACATATTATGAGATGAATTTTGCAGTATATTTTTAAACAATGTTACAAATAAATAACTCTGAAGGTTTGCTTTGCTAAGATGGATTTACATTTTAC